AGCCTAATTTAGTACAAACTGCAACGTTGTTTAAAACACTAATTCACAGAAATACAAAACTAATATGGTGTCTAAGTCGCGTTTTATCCTAAATTGGGATAATTATAGTAAAAATATTATTTTTATGATTTAGTTAGAAACATATGTCAGATGGCAGTGAAGGAAAACAAAACAAAAGTATTTAAGTGTGGAGGATGTTTGAAGATCATAATTATTGAAATACTTTAACCGACTCTGTAACTCGTTACCCAAGGCAAAAAAGTTAAACGCAAACTACTTTATTGATAAATGTATTGTTTCTACTTTGAAAAATACTAATGGGCCTTAAAATTAAGGAACTTTTAAACATTTTCTTGAATTTTTTTAGTAAAATGAGAATAATTTATTCGCAGTCGAAAAAATTGTTTCCGCGTGTTTTTTAGGGTCAAATATTTCAAGTTAATGTATTCAAAAAGCAGGAATTGCTATTTTAGGAACGAAACATTTTCTTATTTAACAACATGGCGGCTTTCACGTTTTGGAGATTAAGATGGAGTAGTTCGGGTAGTCGCATACTGGACTAATAAAGTCGCAGTTCGGCCTTAACAGGTAGTATACTAGTCGCAAGATTGCCTAATTTAGTCATCCTAGAGTCTAGCTTGTGGCGTCCTCTATAATCTAAATAAACGAGGGAGTGGATAAACTATCGGTAATATATGTCGATGTATATTTAAATTTAGTTTTATATGTACCTTTCTTATGTCCCATTTTAATTAATTTTTTTTTATAAAAACAAAAACAGCACTGAACTGTCTGACTGAACAGAACAATGAAGTGAAAATTTAAGATTTAAGGTTATGGTTCAATACAGTTGCAAAAAGGTAGTGACTCGACGTCCTACCAACGTAAGAATAAGGAAATCTAAACAACGTTGGAATTAGTAAAACAGACGACGTTTGCATAACGTTGGAATAGGTCCTGAAACTGACGTCGAAAAACTCTATATTGTCCAACGTTGTAACTACGTTGTCCGAATCACCTAAAGATCACTTAAGCAAAAAAGGTTACAAGACAACGTTTATTCGACGTCGCAGAAGCTTCTACTTTGCTGTAGCACTAGTCCAACGTCGGCACAACGTTATAAAAGCGTTTAAATTTATTTTAATACCTAAGGTAGAGAGCTAACTATTTTTTGTAACTAATCCAACGTTGTGTTTAGTAAACATGTGGTCGCAAGTCGTGAAAATGCTACTTGGGAGGTCGATTGTGGATAAAACATATTTATTATGAATTCGTCAAGTAAAAGGTTCGTAATGAAATTCAGAAAGTTTATTTGTGAAAAAAATAACAATGACTTATTTAAAATCACCAATCATAAAGATGGAGTAATAAAACATCGAGAAAGTCCCCAGATTGTGACGATTAAATTTTTATTCTCCCAAGAGATCGGAAGAGAGTAGTAATAAACTAGACAGCCTCTCTCGGAATTTTTACACTTAAGAATTCAACGAAATCATATTTCTGGCACAAACACGTAATTCCCAGAGCAGGCTGTAATACAATTAAAAAAAATGTACAGCGCTGAACGTAGATCGTAAATAGAATTTTATGTTAGTTTTAGATCAAACTCAATAAAGCCCTAAAGGGTTCCCTGGACGTTATTTATATCAGTCTTGCCTGTAAAGTGTACCACACATTATACATTCATTCATTGCCCAGGAGCCAGTGCATGTTTGAATATTTTGAGACTGCACATTTTCAGAAAAAAAAACGGTGTAATGTGACCACGCCCAACAATAGTATATTGTTTTATTAGGAGTAAAAATGAGATTTCTTGCGGCAAGGCTATACGTTTGACATACAGTCGAGGCACAAAAAGTTATTTTTACTCCTAATAGAACATGCTATTTTTTTTTCAAACGCCACAAATAAGTTTTTAAACAATTTCAAACCTTCCAAATAATATAAAAATATTTAAACGTCATACCTTGAATGTAATTAATATCGAGAAACTATGGTTACGCTCGTTGAATTTGACACTTTATGTCAGATTAATAATATATTTTCGTGCTTTTATGCTTAGGCGCAAAAGTGCTTCACTTTTATACCTAGGCGTTAAAATGCCTTTTTTATATTGTCAATCACGTCGCAAAAATTAATACTTTTGTGACGTTCGAAAAAAAAAATATTATGTTAGGATTATTCTAAGGTTGACTCAATCTAAGATTGCAAAATCTTAAAAGAAAGACCTTATCTTGTTCATAAAATCTAAAAATCCTCTGTACAGTAGTTTTTTGGATTTTGTCTATCAAAATCTTTCCAAAGACTTTAACAATGTCTTTGAATGAAAAGAGCATTAGAAAAGAAATCTACATCATGAACCCTATATTTGACAGGTCTGTTTTTTGACAACATCATCATACCAATGTATACCTAAAGTAAATCGTTTTAAGTTATTTAAGATTTAGTTTTAAAGCGTATATTTTTCTGGTTTTTAACCAGTAGCTGCAGACCAACCAGTAACCAGCAGACTTTAAGCGTCAAGCGATGTAAAACTATATCTGGTCATACCATACTGCCGTTAGATTTCACTAAAACACGATATATAATTTTATAAATACACTTTATAAAGTTTTAGCAGCACTATTTATAATATACGAATACTCATTCAAATCATATTCAAATCATTAGTTTTTTGACAGAAATTAATAAATTGTTTGATGGTTTGACACTTAATGTCAAAGGAAGCTAGATAAAATCAAGAAAAAAATACGCTTTTAAATTTTAAATAACTTAAAAACAACTTATTTGGGGTATAGGAGCATGTATAATCAAAAAGTGACGAATTGAAAAACCTCCTCAATAGTGAAATAAAAAAGTGTGTTTCCATTTTCCACAGAAAAAAATGATATCTGATAATTTTTTAATCTCTCAATTCCATGACAGCTACGGCCAATATTATATGACATTCAAACAATTTAATTTTTAAAATAGATAGCCATATGTTTTCTATTTATATCACAGTGACTGTGGTAATCACTAAATTTGACGTTTATGCTATACACTTTTTTTTTGATAGGCAGTGTTTTCCTCCAAAAATTTTAATTTTTTTTTCTCAAAAACGGTTAATATTAGTTAGCTATAGAGTGTTGATATAAAAATTCATAAAATTTTACAGAGAATATAAGTATGCATAAGAAATTGGGGTACCGATTTAAAATAAGAAAGTTGCTGTCACCTTCCGGTTTCTCCGGAAGTGTCAACATATTGAAAATAATTTTAATTTTAAAAAATGTCTATACCTATGGTATTATTTTTAATTGGTAATGGTGTGGATCCGGTGGCTTGACTTGAAACGAGTTTTTGCTGCATATAGTCACAGACACTACGCATGCGCACATCTTCGATGTTGCCAGATTGCAAGTTATTTTGGAATTATTTTCAGTAGAAAACAAATATGTCCTTTTCAGTTTTTCTTTCTCAATATATACCGTATGATCGAAAAAACGGTGTTCAGTTGGCTGAGAAATGGCGATTGATGACATTGAGGACACAACACGTGAACGCTTATTATGTATTTTCATAGTCAATAAAATTAAATAGAAATAAAACTCTAGATTCCTATAATTAATCTAATTGCTCTAGATTATTATGGTACGTTTAAAAAGGGCTTTATTAAAAATTCGGGAAATTAAAAGGGATATGTGTCCAAGTTTTTTCTTTTTTTTAATTTTTAAATGCTGTAGCTCCATGTCATGTTCATAATAGTTTTTTTTAACATTCCATCAAAACTACGGAGGCCTTAAAAGGCCTTTTAGCCTCCGTAATTAAAATTGTAGAATCAGCTTCAGCAACATTAACAGTTACCTTGTTTGAGTCTGCTTATACATATATTGCATTAATTTTTCTGCTACCTTAAGATTTCTCTATTCTTACACCTAATTTATGTGATTTTCTTAGCATATATGATTTATAAACCATATTTTTCCTAATGGAAGGATATGCAAAATTAAGATATTTTAACATTTATTTTCCAGACAAAGCATAATATAGTATTAAGATTAAGACATAACAAATATTATAAGAAAGATCTTAAAATAAGTCACAAATTAACTAAGTCTTGTATAAACACAGGTATAAAACTAATAAGATCAAAACTCAACCTTCGCCATATTGTCAAGATTTGGCATTATAGGAAACAAGAAATTACAGTAAATTAAGAAAAGAATATCAAAGTACACGATATTAAATACTGTAATGTATTTTACGATACAAACCATCTCCCTTCTAAAGAGAAAAAGATAAAACGTAAAGCTTATAATATATTAGTCTTATCACCATACTCTTCGATAAAATATATGTCTAAAATTGCTATTAATCCACTAACTTGATATTTTTAAGAAATTATGATACAAACATTATGATCAAAGTATATTATATTAGTAACATTATAGGTAAAATGTTACCTCTATCTCCCATTGACGTGTATTGTTCTATAAGACTCGTCATGGTAGAACTTCAATATATCAATACATATAATCAAAACTATTGTTGCCTGTAAATAACTAGAAATTAAATAATTTGAAAAAAATAAAATAATTCTAATAAGTTTAAAACCATTAAAAAAAAATCCGTAAATGATAATTTTTAATTCTAATGTAAATATATAAGTAAATGTTATTATTATTACAATTCTATATATCATTCCTTAATTTTGGATTTCAAGATAAATCTGAAATTATAAAATTAATTATAGAATTTGTATTATTATTGATTAACACTCAAAAAAAAATTTCAACTGCAAATAATTCGAAAATAAACTGCAATTTGGCAACATCGACGATGTGCGCTTGCGTAGTATCGATGATCAAATGCAGCAAATATGGGCTTCAAGGTCAGCCACCGGATCCACACCTTTACCTTTTAATTTATAATACACCCTATATACAACTGGGACACCCTGTATATCATGTAACAAATCTTGATGGAATACCCTGTATTAAAGAATAAAACACAACATATATTCAGTTGAGTGTATTTATTTTAAATCTCCACTAAGTGAAGATTAATTCTATTTATTTTTTTGTACAAACACAAACACTTTGAACACAACAAACAAACATTTTACCTTAAAAACAAGAAAAAAAAACATTCACAGACACACGCTATAACTTCGATTTAGTCACTCGAGACACTAGATTGTTCGTGGCAAAAGTGTTCTTTGGATCCACCTCGTTTTTTATGGCAAGAAACAGGTCAACTCCCACCTGGCTCACTGTATTTTTGTACCACCTTTTTCTCAGTTTACCCACACCGTGGTGATGGGATATACTGCCCCCACAGTTTATTATTTCATCTCTGGCAGAGTCCTCCAAGTGGTGGAACAGTCCCACTGGATCAGGAAGGTTTGTATAGTTGAAACCCAAGTAGAAATAGATGACGCAACCGGCGTCGTAGGTTTGCGTCACACGGGAATTGATGATGAAGTGGGTAATGCCCTTGTTACGGCACTCGTTGGCGATCACTTGTTTGACGTTTTTGACTAGAGTGATGGCTCGGTCCCAAGGGCAGGATGTTTCGAAGGATTCAGCGACTATGTTGAACTGTAGTGCCAAGTCCTGAAAAAAGATATATTTTAAAGAAATTTATCGACAATATTGGAATATGAAGGTAATGTCACAGTTTAAAGAATATAAATATATCAGTTGACCTACTCTCCGCCCGTATCAAAATTCCTCACGCCGCTCCCCGCCTGTCTTGTAGACTTGGGTCAGTCTACATCCGTTGCTCGACGTGTACACAGCGTTCCAAGTTTATTTTAGTTTTGTTTTCGGTCCGACGCATAGGGTGAACCAAAAATAGTGTTTTAGTTGTTTTGTTCGAATTGTGAATAAAATGTCTACTAGAAATATTTGTGCAGTGGATGGTTGTGAAAGTAGAATGACAGACAATATATCGTTCTTTAGGTGCCCAAAAGATGACGGAAGGTATGTGTTGATATAGTATAGGATATTAAGTATATAATAATTAAAGTATTAGACATATTAAATATATTATCATTATGGAAACCTAACTATGAATAAATGGTTTTAAAAATATACATATAAATTAAGAAAAGATTTTACTCGAAATATGCACAAAATATTTAATTTAACAATTAGTTTATTATTTTAGTAGATATTTTAGAGTAGTAGTAGATACTTTACTATTATGTTTTGGATTTTGCAGTATTTACCGGTTTGCAAAGTGCATATTAAATTATTATTTAAGATATTTGCATTTTTTAAATAGCATGTTTTACTTTTTAGATGTTTGTATTTAACTTTAACTACCTACCTGGAAAGTCCAAATTCTATCGTCAGGTAATATAATACGTGCATACAACTTCTTCTGCTATTGAAAAGTTTTTTAGAGCTTTTATTAAATTTTATGTAACAGTAAATATAACAATTGACGAGCACATGGGAAAAACGATGAGTATCCAGAAATGATAAATGTTCAGGAAACGTTTTTTTTAATTGAAATTACGCATGGACTTTTATATCCGAGTTTATATCGTTTTTCCCATTTTTAAATGCCTGTTTCTATGTGGCCGTTATCGATATTCCCGTGTATTTAGGTACCAAAAGGTGTAGCTTTTTGGTACTTTCATTATTTTTCCCGTGTGCTCTTCAATTAGTAGTAAATACTGTAATAAATTATATTTGCATATTTCTTAAGTTATAGCATGTTTTGCTTTTTAGCTGTTTGCATTTAACATGAATTATCTAGCAAAATAAAAACACTAAATCACCACAATACACCAAAACACTTTTACTTTTACACTGGACGCGCGTTTCGCTAACCATGTTAGCATCATCAGCAGATGATTATAAACTAAAGTACAATCTGCAAGTTGAGCGTTTATATACTCGCTCAGTGGGCACCGAGTGGGCGTGGCAAAATCTAGCCAAACCGAGTCAGAGCCAACTGAGCGTAACAGTTAAATTTCCGCCACTAGAGTAGTAGGAACAAAGAACTTGAAGGAATTGGACCGTTGACTCTGTTCATACTATCTTTACATTTATTAATTCTGATGCTTTCATATGCATCTAATTGCTTGTAATTTGAGACTTGTTTAATTAATTTTAAATTATTAAGATCTATACAATGTTCTTTATCAACAATATGTTCGGCAACGCAAGATTTATCCGGTCTACCATATCTTATCTGAGCTAAATGTTCTTTAATCTAGTTAATATTGATTTTCTAGTTTGCCCAACATATTTCTGATTACAATCTTTACAAGAAATTTCATAAATACCCGACCTTTCCAGTGGAGGTGTTTTATCCTTTGGATTACCTAATAATTGTTGTAATTTATTATTAGCACTATACACAAGTTTATAATTTACATTCTTCAAAATTCCTTTTAGACCACGGGATAACTCTCTATCAAACGGCATCGAAAAATATTTAGACGTGTCTTTCTCCACTTGAAAAGTCGAATTTTCAGAAATCATTAACCTATACCTACGTTTTCTAATTAATTTATCAACTAGTGAAGGAGAATATCCATTACACTCAGCTACATTCCTAATGTAATCTCTTTCTATTTCATATCTTTCTTTGGAAAGTGGGAAACTAAGTTATCTATGAACTAGGAAATTTAAACTAGCCATTTTATGTTCAACACTATGATGTGATTCATTAGGAATATATCTGCGTGTGGTCGTATTTTTCCTATAGATATTAAATTCCAGGCAATTATTAATATTTCTAATAACTCATACATCTAGAAATGGTAATCTGTCGTTGTTCTCAATTTCATGCGTAAATTTAATGGAAGGAAAACGATTATTAACTTAGAAATAAAATTATCTATGGTGTCTCAATGTGTGTCAAAAACAACAAAAATATCATCCACATACCTAACCCATACTCTTGGAAAATACTTAAACTGATTCTTAGCTTCCACTTCAAACCTGCTCATGAATAAATTAGCCAAAAATGGAGACAATGGATTACCCATTGCTGTACCTTCCCGCTGTTCAAAAAAGTTGTTATTAAATTGAAAACAGTTTTGTTTCATACATAACGATGTAAGCTCAATATATTCAATCACAGTTTTGTTGTCGAGACCATTTGCGTTCAGTAATTCCTTCAAATAGCCTAAAGTATGTGGAATTGGAGCACTTGGGAACAACGAAGATACATCAAAGGAGACCAAAATTTCACCTTCATGCAATGTTATATCTTTAATTTTGTTAATGAATTCAATATTATTTTTAACTGAGAAAGAAGGTTCATGATCAGGTAAATTTTCGAACTCCCTTGATAACCATTTTGCCAAATTATAAGTCGGAGAACCTACAGCCGAAACAATTGGGCGCATAGACTTGTCCGGTTTATGAATTTTTGGCAAAGCATACAATTTTGGTAATGAGGGATTGAATCTTGCGTTGCCGAACATATTGTTGATAATGAACATTGTATAGATCTTAATAATTTAAAATTAATTAAACAAGTCTCAAATTACAGGCAATTAGATGCATATGAAAGCATCCGAATTAATAAATGTAAAGATAGTATGAACAGAGTCAACGGTCCAATTCCTTCAAGTTCTTTGTTCCTACTACTCTAGTGGCGGAAATCTAACTGTTACGCTCAGTTGGCTCTGACTCGGTTGCCTAGATTTTGCCACGCCCACTCGGTGCCCACTGAGCGAGTATATAAACGCTCAACTTGCAGATTGTACTTTAGTTTATAATCATCTGCTGATGATGCTAACATGGTTAGCGAAACGCGCGTCCAGTGTAAAAGTAAAAGTGTTTTGGTGTATTGTGGTGATTTAGTGTTTTTATTTTGCTGTGTAACACCAAAGGTTCCAACCCTCAACTGTAATGAATTATCTACCTTTTTATTAAAAGGTTATAAAAAGTACTTGGATACAACTTGTCCAAACCAAACCACAGTCATTTTTTTTAGTTTTTACTAAATTTTATCGAACACTAAAATTTATTACACAATTAACTATTAACAGTCATAATTACTGTTCATGATAATCATAAAATTTAGAAAAAATTAAAAAAAAAATTGACAATGGCAACACAAGTTGTATGCAAAGGTACTTTTATTACCTTACGATAAAATTTAGGCTTTCCGGGTAGGTAATTAAAGTAAAATGCAAACATCTATAAAGCAAAACATGCTATAATTTAAGAAATATGCAAATTATTATTATATATATTAAAAAAATTAACTTATTATATTTATTTAGTATACATTTTTCATATGGGGTTTCCATAATAATTATTAATAATAATTACCCTATTAACAATTCCATATTACAAAGAATTAGGATAGAATAATATATCTAATATTTTAATATTAATGTAGGTATATTTAATACTAAATACTAATAAATGTTGATCAATTATTAAAGACGCCTAAAACTGTTAATCAATAAAACTAGTACTGTATTTTTATTTTTCTACTTGCTATATTAAAATTCCTTAGTATTTTTAGTTGATCCCTCGTATACGGCCAGCGTTCTGTCTGATAAAATAGCACTTCCGCTGCACCCGGTAAACGTACAAATTTTTTGTCACCTCAAAGGGTCACGGGCCGCCTTTGAAGTCAAAATAACAATAGAATTCCTTAGAGTAGGCCAACTGATACATTTATATTCTTTAAACTGTGGTAATGTGAATAGTTTCCGATCTTACTATGTAAACGGTAACAGTAACTCAGATGCAAAAAAAAGTCAACGGAGAATTTTTTCGTCAAGTTTAAAGTGTTATACTTCTTTTATTTTTAACCCCATTTTCATGATGTTTTTAGCAAACTATACAGGGTGCTAAAAATTCGAGGTACGAGTATCTCGGAAACCGCAATAGATGATGGTTAAATTGGGGCAAACTTGCGCTTTGGGATGTTCACCAAGATGCCATCTAAAAAGTTTTAAAAATTTCAAGGATTGCTGAGTTTTTTGAAGAAAAAAAAACGTATTTTTTGGGAAATTAATTTTATATTTTCCTGTCGTTTCTTGAAAATCAAAAAAATAATTGCACATTCTCATAGCCACTTTATTAGGGCTATCTGATGAGTTTCTTAAATTTTCAAATAGCTGATAATTTGTGAGATACAGAGACCAACTTAATTTTTTTAAATACGGACCTGCAATTTTTATTTAATTTTTTGAAAGAACTCGGCTCCTGAGTACAATAATATGCGACTCTATACTTTTTTTGTTTTGGGTACCTAACAACGAAACTATTTAATTTTTATTTAAAATAATTTCAAGTCCGACTCTGGGTTTTGAAATTATATAATCTGATTAAATTCATCGCAACAATATTGATTAGCGCTAATTAACAATGAATAAAGAAAATCGAGCCAACTGCAAGATTCAAATAAATAATATCCAGGTCAGCAATTTAAAGATATTATTTTTAACTTTTTTTATTGTGAATTTGAAATCTCAGTGTACAATCTAATAATATGCATAATATTGATCTTAGTTATTATAAATAAATAAACTTCTACAATCTAGTTTCAAATGCTCTACATGCTCGAAAGGGTTACCACCCTTCCTATTGCACAAATTTATTATTCGTTCAATTTTAATTACAGCTCTTTGAACATATATGTTCTTCTTATACTTCCAAATGCATTTTGTATTCTTTATTGTAAATGTTGAAAAATATTGATTTCACTTTTACAAACGACGTCAAGTAATGCAACACCCACCTGCCCCTTGACGACAGGTCCAGGAACCTCGATGGCCATTATATTGCTCTACCATTTCCAATCCATCTTCCGGGAAAATAATTTGATTGTTTATATTATAGTATATTATACATATTTATATTATTTATTTTATATTGTTTTTTATTGCATTTGATTTGGTTTGGTTTGGTTTGGTTTATCAATATTGTAACGATGAATAAATTAAATATTGACAAAAACAGAGCCGGACTTGAAATTAGTTTAAATAAATTGTGTTCAAATGTCCGAAACATACAAAAACTATAAAGTGTGGCATATCATTGTACTCAGGAGACCGAGTTTTTTCAAAAACTGAGATAAAAAATGCAGGTCCGTATTTAAAAAAATTAAGTCGGCCTCTGTATCTCCCAAATTATCAGCTAATTTTAAAATATAAAAATACTATCAGATAGCTCTGATAAAGTGGCTATGAGAATGTGCAATTAGTTTTTTGATTTTCTAAAAACTAACGACAGGAAAAAATAAAATTGATTTTCAAAAAATCCGTTTTTTTCCAAAAAACTCAGCAATCCTTGACATTTTTAAAACTTTTTTGATGGCATCTTGGTGAACATCCCAAAGCGCAACTTTGCCCTAATTTATGGCGCGACTTTGCCCTTTTAAAAATATGGAGGTTGTCCCAAATAAAAAATCAATTTTTCTGTTGATAACTCTCAAATTATTAATTTTAAAAAATTTATACTTAAACCATTAAATTCTACGTAAAAAGGTGCTTTGGAAATGTTTTCATAGAAATACAAAATTGTCCATAGCAAAAAAGTTACAGCGATTTGTTAAAGATGCACAGTTTTGAAAAACACCCCGTAACTCCGAAACGGTAACAGATATTGATGTGCGGTTTTCACCATCATGTTTTTGATGAAAATTGAGCTCCAGACACCGATATTAGTTTTCGTCTATCTCCTATAGAAAAGGGTGTTTCCATTTAAAAGCGTCGAATTTGACCCACCCTGTACAGTGAGGCCAACTAAGTATGACACAAAGAACAAAGAAAAAACTATTTAAAATACCTACACATTTTAGTTTTTAAGGAGATACGAGTGTTATAAACATTTGACGTTCTGTTAAAATAAAAAAAAAACAAAAAAACCAAGTGGAGAAATGAAAAATACCCAAAAGCCTTTTTTGAAGAAATAAATCCGCCACAAATGTAATATACATTATTTCTCTCAATATCATTAAGTTATGTAAGAATTATTTAAATATAGCGCCAAAAACTAGGTTGACAACTCCTTCCTGGAAGCTTCATGGAAGCATAGAATTATGGGTAGTTAGTTGTTATGGTGTTATCAGTTGTTATTATTGATAAATAAACAAAATTGGAGAATAAAGAACGAAAATTATTTGAAGTCGTTTTTATTGAAAAGACAATAAAAATTGATGCTCCCCCTTTTATAGTTAACAAAAAAAAATCAATAAAATATTACACAAATTAACAGATTACTAAACTAAATATAAAAAAGTGCTTTAACAAACTCAATAAACTAAATAATAATTTTTTAGCCTCCATACAAACAAATTTCTATAATTTGCTATCAATTAAAAACAATAAATTTGTCAATTAATATCGAATTGATACAAACAACGCTCTTATTTATATTTAATCGATTATATTATCTATTTTAATTAAAAAAGGTTGCATAATTCCGGTTAATCGCAATTCAATGTCCCTAATTTCATTAGCTGCATTAATAATAACTAATTTTTCGAATATTAATTTATCGTGTGCAACGTTGGGCTACAAATTTCCCTTATTTTGCCGTAAAATGTCACATGCAATACAACATTATTTCAAAATGCATTTATTTGGACGGGATACTAATTCGAAACAGGAGTTTTGCCGACATATTTTATGTAAAACCGCGAAACAGGGCATGCATATGGATATGATTATAAATTTATTTGATTAAAAATATATAAATCGCGGTGTATAGGGTGTCCAGTTTCTCGTTTGTAGTAGAGAAACAAATATACGCCCTTTTAGTTCTTGAAATACATGGCGAATTTCAAGATGTTGCATTTTCGACCTACTTCGTATCTTGGTTATGTTACAATTTATCGACAACTGAGTGTCATATGGTTTTCCATGTAGAATCCAGTAGTATAACTAGTTTTTAGTTGGAAGCTCTCATTCTTGAAATGTGACCGAAAGTTATTTTACTTCAAATGGGACGCCCTTTGTATTATTTTATTTTATTTGCTTTGTTTTTTTTTTATTTTATTTGTATGTAGTTATCTGTTGTCCGTCCTTCTTGCTAGGTGTCCTACCCATTGCCACTTGAGAGATATGATTCTGTTGATGACATCTGTTACCTGTTTTTTGTCGTATCCACTCTATTCTTCTACGGTCTTTCTTGGTTACTTTCAGCATATTTCGTTCCATTGTGCGATCTGTAGTCCTTACAGTGTCCGTTTTATTCGCATGCATAGGTCATGACGGGTAGTACACATTGGTCGAATGTTTTTTTCTTTAGACAAAGTTGCATTCTAGATTTGAACATGATAAGTTTCTTCCGTAAGCACTCCATGCTAACTTAATTCTTCTGTTGATTTCTGGTAGTAGAGATCCAGAGCTGTGTATTAGTTGTCCCAAATATACCGTATGATAGAAAAAAACGGCGTTCAGTTGGCTTGGAAATGACGATCGATAACATTTCACATATAATTTTACATATAAAATGACAGCGATCTACATTTCATAGCCATTGCTGACGCCGTTTTTTTCCATCATACGCTATATATTCTTCTACTATTTCCAGTGTTCTGTTATTTATTTGAATGTCTTTTGTGTGTGTTTACTCTAATAGTACAGAGTAGACTATCTATACTACTATTTTATTATTATTTAGAATTATTAGATTTGTTTTGTATTACTTATTTTCTTTTCTTTTGTATCTTATTTAGTATGTAGTGTTATTTCCTTTGTTTTATACTGACTGTTCAACAGTGTTATGTAATATTATTGTGAACTAAATAAATTTACCTATCTATTTATACTTATTTTGACGAACAAGGTAAAAATACGTTATTTAACTTTTTAACATAGGCGCAGGGTTACTTTGAGTAGAATATATCTATAGTCGTAGTTGTTTTATGGAGGAGTAGAAAAATCTGGGTATTTCGCTACTCAAACAGAAATCTAATAAAGTTTTTTACATAATTCAAAATTATTTAGAAATTATTTTTCGAAGATTTAGTAACAAGGTTCAAATCCTACCCACTGCGCCATTTCACTTACCCTTATGTAAGCTATCAGAAACGTCAGCATATATCCTCTTTCCCCATTGGTTTCACCCGCTGGGACTCCCCTAAAGGTGGCAGCGATGTCGTAGATCCTTTTTTCGCTGACCTTAACCTCATTTTCGTCTCCTTCGAAGAGCAACGTCATCACGCACATCCGGTCAGGGTCGAACTTTTTTATTTTGGTAACGTAGACTTTCTTCAGGCCATCCACGACGCTCTCCATGAATGTGCTTTGAGGTTTGACGATTAAACCGAACTTGAACTGGTCGTTGTCCATGAGTCTGATAGAGGCAGGTTGACATCTAGGTATATTAAATAAAAATCTCAATATTTTTGTTGAAATTTCCATTTTTAATAATGTAAAAAGTATTGAAACTAAGAAGAATTTCGGACTTCTATTGTCTTTATTTATTTTGCTTACACAACGTTTCGCTCAGGACAAATCTAAATTCTAAAATTATGAGCTAATATACCCTGCTGGTCATCCAAACTATGTGGTCTGGATTTTAATGCCTGTGACAGAATAATATAAATGACCGATTGACAGACAGAGAGACATAATCAAAAGCGGCATACAGTGTTGCCGGTTTTTACGTTTATAGGAAAATATGTGTAGAAAAATACCGTATGATCGAAAAAAAATGGCGTCCAGTTGGCTGGGAAATGACGATCGATGATATTTCCCATATAAATTTACATATAAAATGACAGCGATCTTCATTTCCCAGCCAACTGGACGCCGTTTTTTCTCGATCATACGGTATAAGCAACTAGCGTGTACCAGCGACTTCGTTCGCGTCGAATTAATCATTTGTAATGGTGATGATAAAGCAAAGCAAGAATTTCCATTAACATACAAACTGGATAAATTTATGTCAGCATGAGAAAAAACAATATGGCGATATTATTATATAACTTGGTAATATTTGAGGGGTAGTTTTATCACGTTGGAATTTGACTTTCGAAAAATCCGTTTGCCAAAAATAAGCTTTTTACGTCAAGCAGTTTAAGCAGAATCGTGGTTAAGAAATTACCCAACTTTTTGGAACATCCTGTATGATTTTTTAAAAAGTTTCAAAATATGTAAAAAAAACAAATAAATTATGCTTGTCCAAGCGTTTTCCCAAAAGACTAACCGTTTTTTAAATAACAAATATTGTAATATTTGAGGGGCGTTTTTACCCCCTTGGAATTTGAGATTCGAGGAACCCCTCCTTATCGAACCTCTACACCCCACAGTCAATCCGTTTGCCAAAAATCAGCTTTAAACGTCAAGCAGTTTAAGCAGAATCGTGATTACTCAATGGTCATATTTTATGAAACACCCTGTATAAATTTATAAAAAATCTTAAAGTATGTAAAACAACAAAATAAAATATACGTGTTTAAGAGTTTTTCCGAAAAACTCACCGGTTTTTAAATAAAAAATATTGTAATATTTGAGGGGTGGTTTCACCCTCTTGGAACTGGAATTTCGAAAAATCCCTTCTTATCGAACCTCCGGGCCACACCCTAGAATCAGCATGTATGCCAAAATTGAGCTTCTTACGTTGAGTGGTTTGAGCAGGATCGTGATTAATCAGTATGTACTTAAGGATTTTATATATTAGTATAGATCACAGCTGTAGTAAAATTAGTAACTAATTGTGAAAAATAGAGTTCCAAAACCAGATGCAACATTTTTCGTAAACGCCTATTTGAGCGGTTTGAAATTTTGATGCAAAATCCGGCAATACCGCATAGAAGAAATGTTCCGACCCAATTTTTATTACTTTTTAATACATCTGATTTTCCTTTGAGCTGTCTACATCACAGGCTTACATAAAATCCAGACCGCATAGTTTCGATGACCAAATCAGTATAGGGTGAGTCTTAAATAAGTGCAAATATTTTCAGGGCTGGTAGATCTTGGTAAAAGAAACATTTTTTTTAATTTTGAGAACCACTGAATCTTTTCTGGGTTTTCTTTCTTGTATATTTAATCTACTACCTATGTTTCCATATTATCAGGAAATTATGTTTTTAACTAAAAACTAAAAAAAATCCAAATTTTTTTTCAAAAAATTCCAAATTTTCAATTTTTTTTTCGCGAAAAACATGACGTCATATCTGACATCATTTTGTACTCACCTCTGCCTAGCAACCTCCCTCATACAATTCACGCCATCCTCAAAATCGTAAAATATGATCGAACCGTACCGCCTAATTTTTGGCACGGGTCTTATTTTGATCACCACCTCGGTGATCACACCTAACGAGCCCTCCGAGCCCATGATCACGTGATTGAAGTCCGGTCCACAACTCAATCGAGGCACTTGACAGTTCTTCTGAAGGAGACCCTTAGGCGTCACCATTTTCACGTGGACTAGAAGGTCTTCTATGTTGCCATACGTGTTCTTTTTCATTCCTTAAAATGAATAGAGCAGTTAAAAGCCGAAATACATGCTTTTATTTAACATATTGTTTATTTATAAGCATAGAGAACGTACCAGAAAAACTGGACAGGAAATTTCAGTTTGTGGATTGTTTTGAATAAAAAGTGTATTTCTTAGATAACTTTTGGGGTGCTTAATACAAAAATAAAAATGAAATTAAAAGTTTAGTTGCAGTTTTTAAATGTTTAATGAGCAGTTTTTAAATGAATTAAAGAACATAAAGATTATTTAAGAAAGAGCGACTTTCACAAATCTAAGATTTGACAGCATTCATGGGACACAGGGCTCCGAATAGATTTTAACAATGCAAAAATTATAATGAAAGACACGATAGCCTCTCAAAAGAAAAATAAAGGAGAATTTAAGAGTCTTTAGAGTATTTCCGGAAATGACAAAGATAACTTCAATTACTAAACAGATAGGGTTCACTAACAGACAACTTTACCCCAATTTAAACCACCCCGTATATTTTACCGTTTCCTAAATCGTTTTGAATAATAATATTAAGGAAGGAGCATATCAAAAAACCTGGTTCTAACCACAGGGGAACTGTTTACATTTTATGCGAATGCCAACATCCTATTGTTATTGTTTGGTATGTTGCCCAGTATTTCTCCGCTTTTGTTTATTTTTAATTTTGTATACGTATACTTTGGGGAAATCTTAAGAAAATAATAATATAATTAGCTTACTACTTTTCAAAATTTCGACATTTATAATTTTATTTAGTACTTATTAAGATTCAGTCAAGATTACAAGAAAAATAAACTTGAAATATTTGTAAATTTCGTCATTTTTCATCAGCCGTTAGGATTAATTTTTAATCTGACAACGCCGCTCTGTTGTTATAGTATTTTCTATAGTAGGGGAATTGGACGCGGTCAACAGCAGGTGGATGACACTTCTTATGGGAGAACTGGAAATGGTTGAAAACTTGACTACAAGCGATTTTCTAGGAATCTTCTTTACCGATAAATTATTGACAAGAGTGACAGATAAAACCTTGACATTCTTTCAGTATAACTGTTCAGCTATTTTTCTTTCTAAAGTGTGCGTTGAAAGGAGACAAAAACAATTTTTTGCAACCCATAAATTGTTATTCGAACACCACTTTTCTCCTTGTCGGGTCGTTGACGTTGACTTGTCGCCATTTTATTTCTTTTGTTTACACGTTGCAGTTTGCTTTGTAAATTGAATACATAAATTATTTAGGCAAATATAGGTTTTTGATAAAACTCCTTGGACTAACGTGTAGGTAAGTGTTGATAAATAAGTTTTTTTCATCTTAACATGCTCATTGTCATTCTCCTGATTTAGGTGACAGAAAAGGATCATCAAATGAAATTGAATTTTATATTTTTTCATCCCAGGACCGATAATAAAATATATATTTTATGGATACCTTCCTAAATATCAACGAGATGAGCCATCGGAAGAAAGGGACCATAGTACAAAACAGAAAGGTGATCTTTTTTCTTTCCACTTAGGATATTGAAATTATTATATAATGTAGTCGTGTTTGGCATTATGCTCTTAGAAATATAGGTAAACAAAGAAGAACAGATATAAAGCATCCCAGAGGAAAAGAGAGGCAATACCTGTACTCTCTCTCTGATATTTAGAAAGTTACGGCAAAGTATTGTTGTAAATGTCATCTTTTTAATCGACCTGAAAACTTCGAGCAAAAAGATGACACTTTCAACAAAACCCTGACAGATATCAGAGACGATACAGGTTTTTCCTCTCTTTTCCCTGGAATACTTTTTAATTTTATTATTCTTTGTTTATCTAGATTTCGCAGAGCACTATGAACGAACTCAGCTTGTATGTTTGAAATAATCGTCCAGTTGGCTTCAAAATGATGATCGATGACATTTTATATAATTTTACTTTCAAAATTATGATATATATCGTCATTTCTAAGCCATCTATGAAGCCATTTTTTTTTGAGTTTTGTTATAATTAATTTTGTCTCTTGATCTACTTGTAACATTATTTTTTAATTTTATTAATTTATTGTGGTGAAATTAATTTCTGTTGTATATTTGATATTGATATTAAACATATTTTTAAAAAATGGTGTATTTTTTGTGTTTTTATCTATGTCATAATTAAAAATAAATGAAGAATTAAAATTTTTTATTTTTTTAAACTTCCCGCCATGCGTGACAATCTAGTCCGTAGTTCCTACAAGCGATATTGGGGGCGCTAGTAGCAGTAGACTTGTCAACAGTGTCAAATTTAAACGTCAATTTCACTTTCCAATATTTAGCAAGGCGCTCGCACTTCTCCTTGTGTATGTGTTTTGTGGTCAACAGTGTCAATACTGTCGATAAACAGCTGATTGGCATGATCAGCTGTTTGCCGTGCTTTTATTTTTCCATATTTCTTAACTATTAATAAACTATTAATGTATAATTGTTTCATTTTATATAAAAGACCAAAATTAGCATTTAAAATGGGTCTACACTGGCAAAATGTGAGAGAATAAAAGAATTTAAACATCGTCATTTCAAAAGTAAGTACTGTTCTGTGGTAATACAACATCTCGTTTTATTTACCTAAAATATTTACTTGTATTTACCATATTTGTTAAAATTTGTTTATTTGTTTTATAATATAATTTTGTGAATATAATATATTATGTATATTATAAGAAGTAATGTTTATAGTTTTGTTACAATATTGTCCGATTTAAAATCGTATATTTGTATTTAATTATGAATACAAATAATTTGTATGTTTACATAAATTATAATTGGTATGTTTACATTTGTAAAATAATGCCTATTTACGTTTTCTATTACTAAGATAAATATTTTATTTCAGATTTCTAAAAGATAGTGAGAGAAAAATTAAATGGTTTTCTCTGTTAGGATTTATTCATAGCATAATATTAAAAAGTCGAGCAAAAGAGAACTCAAGAACAGCTGATTTTTTTTATAAGGAATTGAAGAAAATATTTAAAATCTGATGATTTTCACAGCCATTTATGTCGCGATTTGTGGTCTTTCAGTTGTTTCAACATCACCTAGGAAATTAACATTAAGATATCAGGATCCTGCATATAACGAGATAAGAACTATGATCTTGTTAGGATACCTATTCCGTCACAATATGTAAGTACATATATATTTACAATTTAATTTTTAATATAAAATATTACTATATACTAATATGTATACACAGATTCAAAGTGTACAGGGTGGTGCCTTTCATACGATATGAAGGTTTCAAGGATTTTTGTTGATGCAAGTTTGTATTGAAAGAACAAATGGAGGGTTTAGAAATCAATCAAGTCATACAACTTCACTTTCATTTTCCTTGGAGCCTTCGCGTCCTATGAGAGGTGTTACCCTATATGTATATAGATTTGTATATATATATATATATATATAATATATATTATATTAATATTATTTTACTAAAATTATACTATAGTTGTATAAGATCTCACCATCGAAAAAAAAAACAGCGTTAGGGTTGGCTTTGAAAGCAAGATTTATGTAATTTTATAAAATGTAAATTTATGTGGTGAATGTCATTGATCGTCAATTTTATTTTGCTCACAATGTATACTCAATGTAGATATTTATATTCACCAACTTCATGTTTATATTTTGTTTTAGGAAGTGAAGATATTCATGGTGTGGAAGTCGTTACTTTAATTACATAGTGCATATGAAATTGGTCCTTTACATCATGTTTAAAATTGACGTAATGCTACTATGCAAAATAGTGAGAGATGTGAACCCTAGGCAGAGCTACAGAATTACTTTTGTTGAGAGACAAATTATGATAGTGATTAGAATCGCATATTCTAGACTTTTACTTAAAAAATGATTTGTTCGGAATGAACTTTTATAGTGTGGAGGAATACCTGCAAATTATAATATGAGGCCTACGTATATGATAATTTTATTATGATCTGTTGTGTTTGTTTTTTTATATTTTGTATTATATATTTGTGTTAGCTTTAAGAATTTATTGACTATTCCTATACAATTGTACATTGTTTTATGGAAATAAATAAATGATTGATTGATTGAATAAGTTAGGAAACCATACGATCGAGAAAAAAACGGCTTCAAAGGCGACTGGGGAATGAAAATATGATAATTTCAGTGAGGTCAAGCCCTAGAAGTCATTTTCTTGGCTCGTACTATTTTTTAAAGGCGCTCTAAGGTTGTAATTTATTTTTACATTAAGTAAATATGATTTTTAAATGGTGTAGTTTAAGATTGACCTCGCTAAATTATCAATCGTCATTCCTCAGCCGCCTTTGACGCCGTTTTTTTTAGACTATTTGCTATAACTATGTTATCTGTTATGCAAATACATATGTCAACAAGTAAAAAGCCAATGAGAAATTAGTTTCTGCTTGGATCCTTACAGTGGCATTTAACAAAATATATATTTTTTCAGGTTACAATATTTTATTTAATATGAACCTGTAAATGTAAGAATATTATACATATATTATATTTTTTACTCAGTCCCTAAATATATTATTAAAATACAACACTTGTGTTTTTTATTAATATCGTGTTATGATTAATACCTAATTAATGTAAAATTATATGGTATGTAAATATCCTTACACTGAGAATTCGTTTGGTCAAAATATTACTCTCTTACTAATATGAATTTGAAAACTACAGAACATTGTTTTTTTTTAGTTTTTGTGCTAATATTTCCACTTAAAATTACCGAATATATTTATGGTATAGGTAGGAAAAGATGAATTTTGTGCTTTTTAATTATACATTATATTAATTATATTATTATTGTAAATAATATCTACTGATATTTAATATAAAAAATAGTTATTCACATGCATCTATTTTTCTTTTGTAATTAATACTATCTAAATAACAAGACATCTTATATAATAGATCCATTAACATTTTAGTTTATCAATTATCAATCACTATACGATATACAATACGTATAATATCTTTTAATTATATCTAACTTTTAATTATTGAATATTTAATAAACAAATTTTTATAGTGTTTGTTAAATATTTTATAGCATATACTATTATGTATTTATAATAATTTATTAGTTTTATTGCATGAACATATTTTTAAAATTTATTATTAAAAAATATTTTATCTTTGCCTCTAACCACCTACTTCTATATCTCTGGCTTTTACTTTACTATCATCAATGAATCTCAAGGTTAAATTCTGTTTTGATGCTCTTCCGCTGTAAATTCCCCTACCACTTTCCTCTTTACCCCGCTGTCCATAAACTATGGTAGTGGGGGCACTCACCGATAAAACGATGTAGGCACCTCGATTTTGTGAATTTATGAATGACTTGCTCTATCTATTTTTATTCTTAATCTAAGGTTCTAACGCGATGGGGACCAAAAATGGCCGACTTTTAAATTCCGGTTTATCAGTGCCGTTCTAGTTGTATTCAAAACGTGTAAAAATATGATGTAGGGTAGACTCAATAATTTTTTTTTACGTTGTCAATAAATGTTGGTATTCCAATAAAAATAGATAAGTTATAATAATTATTTATTAATACAAACATCCGATACGCTACTGAAGCAGGTAAGTCAAATTGACGTATCTAAATTCTTTGACATCTAATCTAAGTAGGTAGTAAATAAAAGCAAAAATGCAAGAAAAAATACATAATTAGTTAATTTTGGTGAATTCTCCATAAATGATCGGTTTACTACACGTATGTATATTATACCGATTTGGTCATTATAGAAGTGTGGTCTGGATTTTAACGTGTAAGACAGTGATGTAGGCAGTTTAATGGAAAATAAAATGTAATAAAAAGAGATAAAAGTTGGGTTGATACATTTCTTCTATGCGGTATTGCCATCATCAAAACTTCAAACCGCACAAGTAGGCGTTTATGGAAAATGTTGCATCTAGGGTTGGAACCTTATTTTTTACAATTAGTTACTCATTTTACTACAGATGTAATAGATTATATTTAGCTTAGATATATTATCTTTATTTCAGTAGTATACATAAAAGTTTTTAAAATAGTTTTTTTCTACACAAATTTCCCTACAAACGTAAAAACCGGCAACACTGTATGCCGCTTTTGATTTTGTCTCTCTGTCTGTCAACCGGTCATTTATATTTTTCTCTGCCTTACACGTTAAAATGTAGACCACACTTCTAAAATGACCAAATCAGTATAGTCACTTACTAGCGAAAAGTTATTCCATTATTTTCCTCGATTTTTGACCGAGATCTACCGCACGCTACACAACCAACTATTTTACAGTCTTTTTCGATAAATCGCAATAGTGTCACCGTTAATTTAAGTTCTGTCACAAAATTTCCTTCTAGATTTACTACCTCTAAACAACTACCAGTTGTAGAATAAATAATAAATAATATAAAATAAGCTCAGTAAAGACAGACAAATCCACAAATTTTTAAATCAAATTCAAACGTGTCGAATGAACATAAAAAAAATCATACAAAATAACACAATTTTAGCTTTCAGTGCATCAAAGTACAAATTTTTAAATGGCTCAATATTCATAGACACTAAATCTTACCAACCTGACGCTCTGGTGGCCACCCATCCGCCCAGACTGGAGAATTCGTAACTGTCCGGCTCGTGGCCGCAAGTGAAACCCAACTTGTTTAGCTCCCGCTCCAGATCCTGACCGATGATGCCGCTCTCGCAGCACGCCACCAGGTTCTTCTCGTCCAGCCACAGGATGCGGTTCATCTGCGTCGTGTCCAGGGAGATGATGGGTCGGTCTTCCCCGGTGGGGCACTCCACCGCGCCAGACACTGCGGTGCCTCCGCCGAAAGGAATAATCTGGAAGGATTTGGGGAAGATAAATAAATAAATAGTACATTTATTTGTCTATTAATAGAAAGATAAACATATACAGGGCGAGTCTTAAATAAGTGCAAATATTTTCAGGGCTGGTAGATCTCGATAAAAAAAACATATTTCCTCTTTACCGTTTTTCAAATAAGTCCCAAATAACTGAGATATTTTACTTGGAGAATTAAAAAAAAAACGTTTTTCGCTTAAATTTTGAGAACCATTGGATCTTTTCTGGGTTTCCTTTCTAGTAAATTTTCTGGGTTTTCTCTTATGTATGTTTCCTTATCATGAAGATAAATATGTTTTTAAACTAAAAATTAAAGAAATTTCCAAAATTTTCGAAAAATTCCAAATTTACAATTTTTTTTTCGCGAAAAGAAAACTCAGGCATGTTTCTGGGGTCGAAATATACTACTCTTAAAAACATTTGCCTTGTTTAAGACTCACCCTGTATAAGCGATACCTACTAAATAAACTTTTAGTTATATTATCGAGGTCGCGATTATTAAATTCATTTTTGCCAACCATGAACAGAGTCGGCGCAGGGCTGACTAATTGAAATTTAAATTTCCCGCGGGCAATTCTGGTGGTAGCTCTGCTGTAAAAAATGTCAAGTTGCCGCATTTATTTATTTATTTCCTGACATTGTCATTCGTTTTGACACTTTAGTTTTGTATTATGAGAGAAAAAAATAGTGTTGTGATACTTTAAGCTTGAAAATGTTTACTAGCAGACCTTGCAGTCGAACATCGTTCTTTTTAGAACCTCTTTTATTGCGAAGTATACAACATAGCTTAATAGCCGTTGCAAAAAACTCATCGCAATCTTATTAGAATATTTTGAACGGGAAAGCGTTAGTAATGGCCCTTTATGTCCAATAAGTGCTGTTAAGGAGGTGAGTTTTGTTGATGTAAATAATAACTATTTATATATTTATAAACAAAAGAGTCGTATTTTAGCTATGTTTCATGGCTAATCTTACTGTAAGTTTGCCCAATAATTTCGTTCTTCTTTTATATGTTTATAATTAATTCGTTTTTGTCTCCTAAAATATTTTGATTAAAAGGAAATCAATAAAAATCGGCAACGCTGTGCCGGTCAAGCTTAATCGCGTGACTAAAAGTTTATATGGTATGATAAACAGGGTGGCGCACCTCATTCGCCTTGGTTATTTATACGAAAACGGAAAGATATAGAAATAAAATATTTTATGGGTATATGTGGTGAGTCAATGTGCACAATTTAAAATTATTTTGAAATTTACAGGGTGTCTCAGAACTAAGATCCATACCAAAGTTATATTTTTTCTTATGGAACACTCGGTATTTTATTTCATTTTTGGATTCTTGGGCCCAAAAAAAGACATTTATTATAAGGGTTAAATATGTTTTAAAGCGAAGATCATTAATTTTTGGTACCCCTGTATACATTTAAGGCAACAATAACATTTTTCAGTAAAGTTTATTTCTTTACTTTTAAACTCAGCACAAGAATTAATTCTGAAAAGTAATTACAGGGTGTTGATAATCAATTCTCTTGTAGCATGCATATTTAAATATCTCAAAAACCAATGATTTTAAACATATTTAACCCTTATAATAAATGCCTTTTTTTGGACTCAAGAATTCGAAAATAAAATAAAATACCGAGTATTCCATAAGAAAAAATATAACTTTGGTATGGATCTTAGTTCTGACTCACCCTGTACATTTCAAAATAATTTTAAATGATGCACATTGCCTTCCCACATATACCCATAAAATATTTTGTTTCTACATCTTTCCGTTTTCGTATAATCAACCGAGGCGAATGACCTGCGCCACCCTGTATGTACTAATAATATGAGCAATTCAATATATGCTCTCATATGTAATATTTCGACAGACAGAAAAAATGCAGATGACGTCCATACTCATACATTTATTTCACTTTTTTAGTTTTTAGTTAAAAAAACATAACTTCTTGATAATATGGCAACATAGGTATAAGATTAAATTTACAAGAAAGAAAATCCAGAAAAGATCCAGTGGTTCTCAAAATTTTAACAAAAAATCATTTTTTTTTTGGAAATTTTCAAAGTTAAATAACTCCGTTATTATGGACTTCATTGAAAAACGATAAAGAGAAAATATGTTTCTTTTATCGAGATCTACCACCCCTTAAAATACTTGCACTTATTTCTGGGACACCCTGTATAAATCTGTCATGCGTCGTCTCTGGTTTTTAACCAGTCTATTGGTTTATATCCAGAATGACATTATATCAATATATTTCAATATGATAGGAGTGACGGAACGATGCATAACGCACGGACGCAGATGCATATAACATCGACTTAAGATTTTTCAAAATTATTATACTCTTCTCAAATTATAGGTTATTATTTCTGTCAAATTATGTCAAATAACCAGCGTACTGGAAAATGATAAATATTTGCGCTGTTGCCTTTTGGTTTGTGTTATTACGGGTGTTTTGTGTTTTAAACTTAAGTGGACGAAAAATTGAGAGAAAAGTAACTAACTATTATCCACCAGTAATGTTTGTATACCATCTCGTATATGGCACTAAAAACTGGAGTAGCTGTAAAATAAAGTAATGTAGAGAGATAAAGTGAAAAGGTACTGCTTTTAAAAAATATATGATTAAATTTAATTGGCCCACTTTTAAAGCGCAGAAACTGTTATTAATCAGAAATCAAGTCAGCCATATTAAGACCCCTTTACAGTCTTACCACCTTTGGTAATATCCTTATATGCTTCTTCAATATTCTTTTCATTCAATGGTAAAAATAATTTTTTAGACCGATCCGAAAATATTCCCTTTTCGAAAAATTTTCCGGCGAATAAACGTTTTTTCAAGCTAGATTGATTTTGGATAATGAACATCAAGAATCGGGAAAAACATTTTCCCATCCTATTTGCAACTATACAGACAGATTAAAATAACGAAACACTGAAAATGTATTCACACAGTGAATATTTACACATTTTTTTCCTGGCTTAAAAATTTCACAACAAATATTTTCATATTTTTAAGTATTTAAACAGTACCTATAATGTCTCACCGTTTAAGTTGCTTCATAGACGCACTTCTCTGAAATGCACTAACCCTTATGTACTTAACTTAATATGTCAATATAACGTATTTATTTTGAACAAGCTATTGACTTTTATGTATCAATGTTCAAATCAAAAAAAATATACAATATATATGATTATTACTTTTAAATAAAGAAATAATAAAAGTATTAAAATTTTTCAGCTGTTAAATTTGGCAAACAATAGCTATACAAATATTATGAAACAAATAATATAATAGTAAAATATCATGACAATTAAATGCTGAAATTAAAAATTAAAAAAAATCGAAAAAAATTGTCGACATTATAAGACACACGATAAAATATACAGTTCATACCAAATAAACTTTTAGTCACGTGATTAAGCTGGACCGGCACAGCGTTGCCCACTTTTTTAGGGTTCCGTACCCAAAGGGTAAAAACGGGACTAATTGATATCAAATATATAACAGTTTAGTTGTACTTACCACCATGTCATTTTCGTCAGCTAGCTTGACAATCTTGACAACGTCATCGTGACCTTTCGGCCACAGCACCAGATCAGGAACTCTGTCAAACCGTCCGTACTTCAGTATGAAAATGTCCTTCAACGTGTGTCCATGTGCCCTGACCACCCTATCTATGACCTTGATCGAGTGAGGTATATTCAACTTCTCGAGTTTTTCGTAAATTTCTTTGGTTAGTTTTGGCGGAGGGTAATCGCTCTCTTTGGGAGGGTCGTTGAACACGTTGTATTTGTTTAAGTCTATGTTTAGAACGGAGATGACCCAGGGGGCTAGGTGAGGTAAGGTGAGGTTTCCTATGGAGTACCTAAAATGTGAGAAGTCTTTAAGAATTTTGTTTTAAATATAAGATAAAAAAAAACATTCCCTGGACGATAGCAGTGAGTTTGAAAGATTCAGTTGGCGCGGTTGCCACTACGGCGACTAACTCAGTGACCACCAGTTCAAAGTTGGTCAAGGAATGCATAGAGAAGCTGAACAAATTAGGTAAATAAAATAAAGTCCTCCTACTCGGGGTGCCAACCCACCAAGAGATAGAAGACAATGAAAAGCAAACGATCTAGTTAGAAAAGGAGAGAACTCTCTACTAACTGAACCAGAACCGTTCTGCTTCCCAAGTGAAAACTAACTTAAAGCGGAACTCAAGAACCTGGAAGACTCAATCCGTAATCTGGAATGGGAATCGTGCAACAGTCTAAGACACTCGAAGAAGTTTCTTAGGAGTTACGACTGAGAAAAATCAACGATTTTCCTTCATAAGATTAGATTCTTAGAGGTGGCTTTCGGCCTGATCCACTGCGACCTTCTCAGATCTGTTGTGGTCCTCTTCTGATCCCTAGATTACATTTTCTAGTCCTATCCTTTTCACAAAGTTTAGCAACTTGGAGACTGAACCCTCCATGTCGCTCCCTGGCAATAGCCTATCATTGCCTATTACCGAGAACCGCACATTTGCCAGGCTGCACCGACATAAAATGTGTTCTGTGGTTTCTTCTTCAGATTGGCAGAACCTACATATAGCTTCGTCTATCAGTCCCATCAGCTTTAGATGCCTATTCAGCGTACAATGCCCTGTTAGTAGACCTACTACAGATTTGACTGTCTTTGTCTTCGACTTGTTACGGGGTTTTTAACAGGAGTCTCCTCAATGAACACCTCAGTAGATTAAAGCTAAGAAACAACGGAACGCAGATTCTGTGGGGAAAATGAGGAAACACCAGTACACATACTGAGTAAGCCAAGACGTATTGGTATGACTGATATCTGATATGGAGAACAAAACTCTGTAAATCCGTCTCCGTTACTGACTTTTATCAAAGCCCTGGGACTGTGTGATGAGTTATAACTCAAGAACAGGGACACAATAGATCTATAAAGTCGCGGTGATTAACTTCCTCTCTCATATAAAATCTATATCTACATCTATACTGACCTTTGTCCTGTGAAGTAGGCAACTCCATCCCTGATTACAAATTGGGAATCCTTGTAACCCCATCCATTCCATTTTAGTAAATCTTGTCTGAAACATAGATAATAACAATATTAAATTTAAAAACTAGAACAACAACAAATTATAGAGTTGAGTTATTGGCTATATTTAAAGTATTAATATTTTCTTAATATTTATAAATATATTAATATACTCTTGAGTATAAACGGTATATAGCTTCTATTTTTATTTTTGTTATTTTCATTACTGTACTAAATTGTTTTTTTTTACTTGTCTCTTTATAGGGTTCCGTACCCAAAGGGTAAAAACGGGAACCCTATTACTAAGATTTCGCTGTCCGTCCGTCCGTCTGTCACAAAGGTCTATCTTATGAACCGTTATAGCTAGACAGTTGAAATTTTTACAGATAATGTATCTATGGTGCCGCTATAAGAACAAATACTAAAAACAGAATTAAATAAATGTTTATAAATAATAAAGTACTTCCACTAAACATTATCTTTTAAGTAAGAATTTTACATAGAATCTTTCAAGTCCTCGGTGGCCGCGTGGTTTAAAGGATTAGGATATATGACGTTAGAGCCGTAGTAAGGCAGGTTCGAATCCTAGTCAAGGCGATTTTTTTAATCGTTTTTTTTTATTTTTACATGTTTTTACATATTTATTTTTACTTTTTACATATTTATTATTGATTAATACAATTTTCAGTAATGTGTTTCTTCATTTTTTTTTAATTACCTATACGCGCATTCAAAACTTCAGCTAAATCTAAAAAAGAAGTTTATAATAATATAGTGTCTAATGTTGTATAGATAATGAATGGTACGGAACCCTTCGTGCGCGAGTCCGACTCGCACTTAACCAATTTTTTCTTTTTATATTTTTAATAATACAGGCTATTATTCTTCCCATTTACAGTTGAAATAAAATATTAAAACTACTTCTACAATCACTTCTTAATTTGCGTAATTTAAAAAATTAACAGTGGATTTAAATTAATTACCATACTTTCATTTCACACCGGAATGATAAACAATTTGTTTATTCAGTTTGATACCCAGTAAGCAAACACCGAAAATTATTTAAATAATTAAATTTTAAAGGTCGAAATATTTTTTACCTGACGAAAGAACGAGAAAAAAATATGGCGACGATAATTTAAAGAACCTTGCCAGTTAGTTATTTAAATAATGTTTCTTTTTTAATTATTTTACAATAAAATGCGTCTCTATTGAGAGAAGAATACAAATGGAAATTAGTAAACTGGTTTTTAACAGGGATGATTGAATCAGTAATAATTTTGGATAAACTTACTAAGTATTTTCTATTTAACCTTTTATAGGTTGATGGTCGCTAAATCGACCACTTTAATTTAACCAACTAATCAGTCGCGTCGAAGTGTATTATCGCCCAGTTTGTTTGCTATGCTTATTTCTATGCGCGCTTTGGCCATTTAATCAACCATATCTATACGTTGGCCGAATTGGCGCGAAAAGTTAACGTAATCTAAGTTAAACGCGTTGAATATTCGACCAGTGAGCATTTGTGACACTGAGTTCGCTGTGTATCATATAGGTAATAATTGCCCAAGTTTACAAATTCGGGTCAACTTTTGGACCCGAGCAGATGAGAACGATTCTTAACGTTATTTGATGAAGAATTTATTGAATATTTCGAAAACTAAAACCAATCTTAAAAAATGGGCTGCTGATTTGGATTCAGCTCCAAAAATCATCTTAGAAATTGCTTTTAGTTGCTCAGGTCCAAAACCTGTGTACACTTGTGTTGTCGTCTAAGCATTTTCTAGGCAAATTTCGTGTAATAAAAATTTAAAAATATAGAAACAAATGTATCTGTGACGTTTCTTTTTATTTAGAGCACCAAATTTACGACTCGGATGATATTTTCTAAAATCGTTAACATATCCTGTATATTTTCGATCATTTTTCATAGAATGCGAGTTTCTCGAAAACAAAATTTGATTTACTTGATATGGGCATATTTTTGAGTAGAGAGCTAACAGAAATAATCAAAATAAACTTACTCTTCTTTCTTACACGGCATGATACATAAAGTTTGTACATTATATACATTAAATCATTACATATTATCTATTTGCTTTAACAGTCTCTGGTTGAAAAATCGACCACCAACCCCCACTCCCTTATTTGTTAACTTTTGGAAAAATGTTATTAAGAAGTTATACTCCCTTTATGCTAGTTTATATATTTTCGAAGTCAATTTGATCAAACTAGAAAATAATTAGTACTGCCCTATCAAGGGTTAATTAATATACACAAGACACAGAAACATTCATGTTTTACGACAAAATTGCGACAAATCCAATACATTTCTGGGACAATTTTGTCTCATTTTTGTTTTGTTTCAAAATTCGGAGACTTTTCAATGGCCCGTCTCGAGTCGGTAAAGATCAGAGTGTCTATGTTTTGTTCGTAAATTTTGCGACAAGTTGTCGGTGCAGTGTGGATGACGTGTGCTGCCAACAGTAGGAGACCAGTGAAATCACACATGGTTAATAAAACTCATTCGCAACAACTAATAGCCTAAGAGCTGACGACATATTTAGAGAACATATTTTAGGCAAGCTAGAATAACTAAAAATGTATAGTTTATTAACTGGTGAACCGAGAATACTAAGTCTGGCTGGGGGGTTGGGGGTATCTCGCTACTGCGCAACCCATAACATTTGCAAAAAATAAATCCAAAAAACATTCTTTAGGCAACTTGTTTATTCTTAAATTTTAGCATCTATTTAACCTAGAAATAAGTATGCCAGACTTTTTTTTCGGGTTTAAAGTGTAACCAGACCATTCCAAATATGTTTAATTATTATACTTGGAAAACATACTTTAGGCATTCTAAAATTTTTACAGCGTGTTTATTAGATGATATTAAAAAATATGTGTTAATTGCCAGACGAATTCAATGAGATTTAATACTTGCCAGACGCGAATAAAGATTTTAAATGAGCGCGATAAGAAAGTCTTATGAGTATCTATAAGCGCGAGAAAGATAGTTTAGTGAGACCCGTCGGCAGCCGATACGGCTGACGTAACATCATTGTGGAGTCGTAAAAACTTAAAAAAAAACTAACTAATATTGAATAAATAAAAAGAAACATTTTTTAATAAAAATGTATGATTGAAATCCTTTCAATAAGAAGACTTTTTAATTGAAGTATTTTGTATCTGAAAGAATAAAAAGACGAATAATTATTTAAAATTAGCATAATATAAACTATATTTTTTTTCAAACGTCATAAATGTATAATTATTATTATACTTTTGTGACATATTATATTATTATTAATTTTTGCGACCTGATTGACAATATAAAAAAGTCATTTTAACGCCTAAGCATAAAAGTAAAGCACTTTTACTTACTTTTAGAGAATACTTATTTTTTTAGCACTGTACATGGTACCCTTTTGTCAGGACTACGTTTTCTGGTAAAACCACTTCTTTAAATTTTAAACCATGTTGTTGGCGCACTTTTAAAAATTCTTTGCATTTTTGTAGTCTGCCTTCATCAAAAACAATAACTTTGTCACTGGTAACTTTTTTACAAACTACACAACTTAAATGTTTTTCATCCATTGTGATTTAATAGTTAGTAGCGAAATTAGTAGTTACCTACTAAAATATTTATTTGCAGTAATTATTCTAAACTATTTACACTATGCACGTCAATATTTAATTTATAAATACATATTTGTACATGGTAACTTAATTCCAACAAAATAATCTCTGAATTAAAAGCCTGCAAATAATTGAAATGAAACCGAAAAAAAATTGTTTTTTTGAAAATTTGAAGTACATACTCCAAAATATTGTTACGTCAGCCGCATCGGCTGCCGACGGGTCTCAATAAACTATCTTTCTCGCGCTATAGATACTCATCAAGACTTTTTGTCGCGCTCATTTAAAAATCTTTATTCGCGTCTGGCAAGTATTGAATCCCATTGAATTCGTCTGGCACTTAAAACATATTTTTTAATATCATCTAATAAACACGCTGTAAAAATTTTAGAATGCCTAAAGTATGTTTTCCAGGTATAATAATTAAACATATTTGGAATGGTCTGGTTACACTTTAAACCCGAATAAAAAGTCTGGCACACTTATTTCTAGGTTAAATAGATGCTAAAATTTAAGAATAAACAAATTTCAAGTTGCCTAAAGAATGTTTTTTGGATTTATTTTTTGCAAATGTTATGGGTTGGGCAGTAGCGAAATACCCCCAACCCCCCAGCCAGACTTAGGATTCTGGGTTCACAAGTTATTAAACATTATTTATTTTGGTATTCTGACTTACCTAAAATATGATCTCTAAATATGTCGCCAGCTCTCCGGCTAAGTGAAATCACACATGGTTAATAAAACTTATTCGCAACAACTAAACTTTTTGACTTTTTTTGTACTTTTGTCCTTGCGGTGTGGACAATTTGTCTCAAGTTTGTCTTGTCAGAATTTCTCATTTTTTGTCGCAAGTTTGTCTTGTTTTTGTCTCAAAATCGTGTTTACTTTTTGTCGTCTTGGTCTGGACCTGACATTAGAGTACGTGTTAACAATTTAATGTACTCAAAATATTTTTTGAATATGCAGGTAAACCCAAAAGTATTCCTTAAAACCGAAAAAAATTAATAATTAGAGACAAATACACTTCAAAATATTTTTGTTTCCAAAATTTCAATACAAAAAACGAAATGTGTACGAAATATCCAAATAAAATATTTCATTTCGTATCTCTGTACGAGGCATGTTTTTTAAGTAAGTACCGTTTTGCGATTCCGCCGCCGCAGCGCTACGGTCGGCGTTCCGCGCATGCGCGCTGGTTACCTACATCTCTTGTCTATGCACAGACGCCAGTACAGTCTGATTCTTCATTGTATACGTTGTTTATTAAGTGTTTAAGATGCGTCCGACAATCGTGAGCCCCGCCGATTGTGAAGTACGGGCTGTCATACGATTTCTTAGTGCTAAAGGCGTAAAACCGATCGATATTCATCGTGAGATCTGTGAAATTTACGGACAAAACATTATGAGTGATGGAATAGTAAGGAAATGGGTGAGAGCATTTAAAGATGGCCGCACAAATGTGCATGATGAAGAACGGAGGTGGGCGTCCTTCGCGGTCGTTAGTGCAGAATTGGACGAAAAGGTGAAAGAAAACAGACGCTTTACAATTTCATCATTGTGCGACCACTTTCCTCAATGTTCTCGTAGTGTTTTGTATCGCATTGTGACCGAGAACTTGAATTACCGGAAATTGTGTTCACGTTGGGTTCCGAAAATGTTGACGGATTTGCACAAAACCCAACGTTTAGGCAGTGCATTGACTTTCCTTGAGCAGTACCACAATGAAGGTGAAGATTTTTTAGACAAAATTGTTACTGGTGACGAAACATGGGTGGCCTACGTCACAACCAGAATCGAAACAACAGTCCATGGAATGGCGACATTCATCATCACCCAAAACGAAGTGAAGTTTAAGCAAACAATTTCTGCCCGGAAAATCATGTGTGCACAGTTTTTGGAACAGAAAAGGAGTATTGCTAGTGGAGTTTCTGCCTCGTAATGAGACAATCAATGCAGCATCTTATTGTGAGACATTGAACAATCTGCGCCGTGCAATCCAAAACAAAAGACGTGGCAAGTTGAGTAAGGGTATTGTTTTGCTGCATGACAATGCCCGTCAACATGTGGCTAATCGGACCAAAGACCTCATCAAATCTTTTAAATGGGAAACTCTAGATCATCCTCCATACAGCCCTGATCTGGCGCCCAGTGACTACCATTTTTATTCCTGCACTTGAAGAAACACCTGGGCGGTCAGCGTCTTCAAGACGATAACGAAGTCAAAACAGTTGTGATACAGTGGTTAACCAGTCAGGCGGCAGAATTTTATGAGGGTATTGAAAAACTGGTGCCACGTTATGACAAGTGCCTCAATATTCACAGAAATTATGTAGAAAAGTAGATTACGGTACAGGCTTTCATGTAAAAATAAAATTATTGCGATATCTTTGCACGTTTTTTTTAATTCCAAAACGGTACTTACTTAAAAAACATGCCTCGTACTTAGCAAAGCCAAGGAGGTATCAGATAATAAAAAAAATACAGTGTAGAAATATAGAAGAAATAAAAAAAAACTTTGGTGTAATAAAACATCCTTAAAAATGGCCGTAGTATAAAATTCTTAAACTACATATTTTGTTATGACACAACCCTTAAGATAAATATCTGAGAAAACGACTACCTAAAAATATTCCTCAGATTCTGGTTAAAGTGTTTTTCAATTAATTTTGGTAAAAAATCTGTTAACGATGTTTACGTAGCAATAATGTGTCACATTAATAACAGTTTTTTTTCTCATATAAATAAGCTGTTTATAGGAAATTAAAATATTTGTTATACAAGGCGATCTACAGTTGGAGATTTATTCTATTATTTACGTCACCAACAGTGGTATAAATGACGTCTATTAATTATTAAAATTCATATATTTAAATATTTTCTATAAATATAATTAGTAGATACCTAGATTTTTATAATTTTACTAGTTGATGCCTGGCGCATCCGCCACGACATCGACATCAGGAAAAAAAAATACTTTTTATTTTTTTTAATTAAATGAAAAACAAAAAATCAGGCGACGACAGTTTTTAGAAGTGTAAATTAGCTATCTTTTAGGAAAAAAAGCAGGACAAGTAAATTATGTTTAGGGCTTGACCCTCGCCAAAAATGTTATCGATTGTCATTCCTCAGCCGTCTTTGACGCCGTTTTTTTTCGATCGTAAGGTATTTTGTTTTTAAATGTATTTGTTTTGCTTGTAGTTAAAATTGTTTCATAACAAATAACAAAATATAAAATAATATAAATTATGCAAAATAAAAATATTTTTTTAACCTTTGCTTTATACAGGAATATGTATATACTTATATCAGAAAAAAAATGGCATATATGTACCTACAAAAAAATTTGCAAAATATACATTAAAATATGTTGTGGCAATGACTATATCTTATTTCATTTTATTTTATGTACTCGTGCATATAAAAATCAATTTAATTTGAGTTTTATTCATAAAATAATCAATTATAAACAATTTTTCTATACCTACACATCAAAAAATGTTTTTTAAGAATAAAATGAGGTAACACGCCACGCGATCGAAAAAAACGGCGCTAGAGTTGGCTTAGAAATAAACATCGCTGTAATTTTGTATAAAAAATGGCATCGATCATTATTTCAAACCAATTTGTATTTTTTTTAATTTTCTACAAAATTAAAAAATATTCATTATTATTACAAGATCCATGTGCCTTTACCTGCATTTATAAAACCCTATCAAGAAAGTAAAAAAATATAGTATACAATATGAGTAAGAAAAAAACGGGCGTCAGCGGTGGATGAAATGAAGATAGCTGTTTATTATTAATTCCAAGCCAACTGGACGCCGTTTTTTTTTCGACCATACGATACTAAATATAGTATTATTACATTACCTAATTTAGTTATATTTACATTTTTAAATAAAGGGTGTTTCAAAACAAATGCGAAAAACTTCAGGGGGTGACTCCTTGTTCAAAATAAAGGGTAGTTTGCTTTATAAACGTTGGGTCAAAAGTCAACCATTAGGGAGATATCGCGGTACAAAGATGGCGGAAAAATAATGTTTTTATTTTTTATCTTGAAAACGAAAAGAGACTAATGAAATTTTACGGAAGCATTACTGTTATGAAAATTTTTTTCACTTTTTAAAATGAGGGAAGAGTTGAAACAAACTACCTACTATTTTCTTGTTAATGAAATCTTAAAGAAAAATCTTATCAAACACATGCATAAAAATTAATTTTGATAGTTTAGTTTATTTAGAAACTTTTTATCTCTTGTGTTTTTTGATAAACTCACCGATTTGAAATTAAAAAATAAAATGTAAAGCATTACATGTCAGGACAAAAAACATTTTTAGATAAAGAATCTAGTGGGCAGCTGTAATTTTTTTAGGAAAAAATCTAGTCGGCCGCTGTCACTTTTTAGGATGTTTCTAATATTGTTTTATTTGACCCTACTGCAATACGTTATTATCTAGATTATTATTATTATCATTATTATCACTAGATTCTTATCTAAAAATATGTTTAGTCCTGACATGTAATGCTTTACATTTTATTTTTTAATTTCAAATCGGTGAGTTTTATAAAAAAAATACAAGAGATAAAAAAGTTTCTAAACAAACTAAACTATCCAAATTAATTTTTATGCATGTGTTTGATAAGATTTTTCTTTAAATTTCGTTAACAAGAATGATAGGGGTAGTTTATTTCAACCCCTTCCATTCATTTTAAAAAGGTGAACAAATTACCAGAAAGTGTGTTTTCATAACAGTAATGCTTCCATAAAATTTCATTAGTCTATCTCTTTTCGTTTTCAAGATAAAAAATAAGAACATAATTTTTCCGCCATCTTTGTACCGCGATATCTCCCTAATGGTTGACTTTTGACCCAACGTTTATGAAGCAAACTACCCTTTATTTTGAACAAGGAATCACCCCTGAAGTTTTTCGCATTTGTTTTGAAACACCCTGTATATAGATACTGTTTAATTTATGAGTTTTTAATTTATTTTTATTATTTTTTTTTCAGTTGATTTAGTTCTATCCCATAAGCACAGCAAACAAATTCAAAAATCATTAATCAATACAAACCGATAACCGGATAAAAATCGACGTCGTGGTGGCCTGAAATTATTATTTATTACAAATTGAGATAAGAATTTGGGAAAAAATAATAATATCTAAATGTTCATTTAAAAACATTTATTGAACAGATCAAGAATCAAAACAAAATTAAAAATACAAATTAAAATTTATTATTAAATTAATTAAATTAATTTAGTTTGTAATAATACAATTTTTTTAAATTTTTTTCCAACTTTTTGAGTGGTAAATAATTATTTAATTGTATCACAGAAGAACAACCAAAAAATATTTAAATTAGGCAAAAATATATATCGATGCTAAAAAACGGTGTCACAGTGGTCTTAGAACTTATAATCCAAAATAATTTCTATTTGGTAGACTCCTATACGTTATCAATTAAAATTTGAGATATAAAAATTTGGCAAAAATTAATAAAATCTTATTCAGAAAAACGTCAAAATTTTCCAAAAAACAATTTTTTACTGAATTTATCTATTCTCTAACCATTTTACTTATTTCCGGTAACCAAATGTAATTTCAAAGCATACAGTGACGTCGATTTTTTTTTCATAATTTTCACGTTTTTTAAAAAATTAACCAAAAACAAAATAAATACCTAATCTTAGGGATGGTACTCTCCACATCTACTGAAGTCACTTTTTTGACACCCATCGTGGTAAAATCACGTAAAAAACTTTGAAAACCAAAATATCAAAATCTTGACACAACCAATTCAAAAACTCAACTGGCGGGAACTGAAATTATATATGCGACAGTCCGCAACATAAATACTAAAAAACATTTTTACAATAAGACAAGTTGTTTGTAATAAAATTATTTTTTTGAATGAGGTATAGTCAAGAGAAGGGATTCAAATATAAACAAACCAATTTTTGATAATATAATCATAAAAATTCTAAAAAAACTGGTTTTTTAAATTAAATATACGACACGGATTGATAATTAGGTAAAATTATCTCGATCTATCGCTTAAAAAATATATATACAGGGTGTTTCATGCCCGAATGTTGATTAAATCGACGATAATTTCTTTGGGGCAGACCCTGACCCTAATCTGAAAACTTTTAATTTACTTTTTTTTCCAAATTAAATACTATTCATTTTTGAGAATTCTTTATGTCAATTGTTAATAAATTATACAGTGTGTACCCGGATTGTTTTTACAAGAGGAAACATTTTTTGTTGACATTTTGACAAAAATGCATACATCATAAAAAAAATTTGATTGTTTTAAAATGGTTAATCCCGTTTATACTGTTCCAAATTTCCATACCGTTTTTTAGAAAAAATTAAAAAAAAAACATAGAAACATAGTTGAAGTCCTAAAAATCAAAACGCGTTTCTATGGTAATATAATTTCGTTTTCAATCTTTGTTAGATTCAACGAATTTTAATTAACGTCATATTTTTTGCTCTTTTAAAATGTTCAATATGCATAACATTTATTTAGTTCAATGCTAAGGAAAGGGTGATAATAGCAGTGGCGGAAATTTTTTTTGGCGCATTCACCATTTTGTCAACATTTTTTAAATTATTATTTGAAAATTTTTTGGTGTATTCACCATTTTGTCAACAATATTTTTTTGTTATTATTTATACACTAATACCTATAATATTTTCCTTTTAGTTTTGGCTTAAACGCATTAAGTAAAAAGAGATACAACCAGTTTTCGATAAACACATTATTTTGCATTCCAGTGAAAATTTAATTAAATATAATAAACATTATATACAGTGTCCACCATAAAGTTGGATCAATATGGACGTTTTTTAAAATCTTTTTTGTGGCAATCATTTCTGCTTTGAAAACAACTTAAAATGCACGTCAAAGTTGACAGCTAACATCTGGAAACTGTCAAAAAATACAAAATATTTAAAAGAAATTTTTAAAAATTGGTTAAATTATTATTATTTTAAAAAAGGCGACAAACAAAATTATGTTTCAACTTGGACTTGGTACTTGGTGCATTTTAAATATTATTACACTAATTATTATTTTAATTATTATTACACCTGTTTACTAAGCAGTATTAACCAAAATAAATTTGACTGATTTATATTACAAACCTTACTAACTTCTGTAAATCAGCTCAGTTCTTCTGTTCTTTATTGATGCAAACTTATCAGTAATATCGTCATAAAACGGATTTTCACTCATAAGTTCATTTAAAAGTTCTTTGTGAAGAAAATTAACAAGTTAAATCAACAAAAACCATTAACAAACAACAATAAATAATCAACAACAACTTTACAGTCTTTACACGGTTAATTACTCGCCGAAGTAGCCGAATATTAGCATAAAGGAAGACGAAGCGAACTGCCCAAAAACTCATTCACATCGGTCGCTGATAAAAAAAATTCGGGGCGGGGGATTTACATGCTGCCGCTAGGCTGACGTCACGTTACCATGGAAACCGTGCAGCGCTTGTGTCTAGCCCCAGCATGCAACTATTAAGCCCGACCAATCACGGTAGAGTTTTTGAACAAAAAAAAAGGCTACCGCGACGCCTTTTTTTCGATCGTCTATAGTCTATAGATTCCTTCGGTATAATTTTGGCATTATTACGTATCCCATGATAGATTTAATAATTATTATTATAAAAGTTATTCTTTTTGTCATTTAAAAAACGTAAAAATCATAAAAAAACGTCAAAAAATTAAGAAATACCTACTCACATTTTAAATTGCGAAATTAGAAAAAAAATAATTACATTTAATGTTAGAGCAATCACAAATAAATGTATGGGTTCGCTTTTAAATAAAATATGAACAATTAATTTAATAAATTAATATTAATTAGCCAGCAAATTGAGGAAGAAAATTAAATATTCAGAATTTATTTTATTATAAGCTGACAGTATTAACAACAAAAATTAGCAATTAAACAAAAAAAGATGTTTATAATAATAATGAATTATTAATCTTTTATTTACGTATTTCTGAATAACGTATTTATTAACTATTGAGGTAACACATAATATATGGCTAATTAAATTAAAATTACCAATTTCACTGGCGTCCCAGGGGACATATCGAAAATAATTGAGAAAAAAACGTACCTACCTACACAACTGAATTTCTTGGTAATTTTGATATGTTTTCTAGATAACGCAATTAAAAATACTTTTAACTTTTTTTCTTGTATATCATATGTTCTAGATATGTTCTAGACAGGCATTTGAACGAGAAAGCAATAGTAATGGCCCTTTATGTCCCTTAAGTGCTGTTAAGAAGGTGGTTTTTGCTGATGTAAATAATAACCGTTTATATATTTTTAATTAATTTACTTTTGTATCCTAAAATATTTTGATTAAAAGAAAATATGTAAAAGTCGGCAACGCTGTGCCGGTCAAGCTTAATCACGTGACTAAAAGTTTATTTGATATGAACTATAGGTACGTTTCCCCCTTGAAATTTAGCAGTGCATTTTTGGAGCACCCTGTATATAAGCCTTAATAAATAGAGGGTGTGTAATATAACACCCTTGACAACGATTTTTCAGATCATTATAAGAAAAAAAGTACGTAAAAAATATATTTCTGGGAAAATTAATCAGTCATAGATTTCTAGTATAGGTAGGTATATCTCAATGTCAATAATGATTATTATAGTACCTTAAAAGTGAATATTTCTTCAAACAATTTTATTTACCAAAAGATCAGCTAAAATTACCTACCTATATAATATGAGATTATATTACATTTATTTGTTTAAATTGACTTTTTATCAGTAGCAGGAATATACTACAAACAATAAAAGCTTATTCTAATAATTTATAACAATGAATTAAATAATTTAAACCATCAAGAACCATATTACAAATACCATAATAAAAAAAGTAATAAAACTATTACTAAATTTCAATATTCATTTATACTAAATTATATCCCTTCTAGACAAAGCTATTTAAATAATTTAGACCCTCTGCTATTGATTTCCTATATTTTTCCAATTAAATTATATAAAAATAAATAAAATATTTAAAGGGACTTGACATTTAAAATTTAAAGGGAGCGTCTCTAGACAAACTCCAAATTCACATCGATATTTTGAATGGGATATTAAAACAGACAATCCCCAAATAAAGAAGATTAATACATCTAGTTTAAACTTACCTGTGCTTAGGAATAACGCTCTTAACTATGACTGGATCCGTGAATTTTTGGTTTGAAGCCGGCATTATTTTATTAAATTAAAATTATAAACAAACAGAAATACTAGAGAAATATGGTTCCTTACTTAAGCGTAAAATAAATCTACTTAATTATCACTCATTTTGCCAAGCCCACCGTTCTAGGATAGAGGTAATTTACTAAATTAGATCATCTTCAACCATAAACAGACAAATTTGTAAACTGCAAAACTAGCCTCAATGTGTCACGGGTGCAATATGCTGGTGCGCAAGTTTGGCATTTATTGAGCGAATAGCGCATGGCGTGTCACATTAAATACTCCAAGGTCAGGCAACCAGTAAAACAATATTTACCAGGATTTACCAAATTGTATAATTACTTGATTTGAATTAATCAAATCGCTATTATTTTACCTAAATGAAATAATTCGAAGTTGTTGTTCCAATAATTTCTAAAATATACCGTTTGTTCTTTATTTTTTTAGATAATTATTTGTTAAAATGTCAAAATAACCAAATGACATTTCTTATCTGACAGGTGACAGTAAAGGGGGAAAATTTTTGCACATTGTTTTCAAATTCTTTAATGTGTGATTTTCCGGTATTTCTTGTAAGTTTAGCTTAAAATAAAATGTCTGAACGTATGCCCAAAGTTGATTTGAACAAATTGAATCGCAGCGATCAAGAATTTATTAACCGCCTTCAAAGAGAGAACCTGGAAAGAGTTGCCAAACTGAAGAAAGTTCGCAGGAACAATATTATTACAGCAAGTTGTCTTGGGGCTATGATTATAGGTATTTATTCTTATACGATCTACGCCGTAAAGCAAGAAACGTTCTTGGACGATTTTAACGAACCCGAGAAAACCACTAATTAGCTACAATGTCGTATAATATTAATACGTTAAGATTACCACCTCTTCCTAGCATTAGAGATTTAGTAAAACTATATAAATTAAGAGCTCTAAAACAGCTGTCGCAGAACTTTCTTATGGACGAAAGATTGACTGATAAAATTGTGAGGGCTGCTGGAAGGCTTACCGATCATCATGTTTGTGAAGTTGGTCCAGGTAACAATGATAAACCTTTATATTTCTAGATATTACTTTGTATATTTACAGGTCCAGGAGGTATAACAAGATCCATCATTAAAAAAGCACCTAAAAGACTGATTGTTGTAGAAAAAGACCCCAGATTTCTTCCAACTCTGAATTTATTACAGGAATCTTGTCCGAAAGAGTTACAAATGCAAATCGACATTGCCGATATAACCAGATATAACCTAGAAACGGCTTTTGGGGGTGCTCCAAAAATGGAGTGGACCCACTCCCTGCCACCAATTCATTTAATTGGAAATTTGCCTTTTAATGTCTCCACAAATTTAATTATTCGATGGTTAGAGATGGTGTCCCAAAAAAGTGGGGCTTGGGCTTACGGGAGGTCTTCTATGACACTTACGTTCCAAAAAGAAGTGGCGGAAAGAATGATTGCACCTCCTAGTAGCAAACAAAGATGTAGATTATCAGTGATGTGTCAGTTTTGGTGTGATGTCAACTATAAATTTACCATACCGGGCACTGCTTTTGTTCCGAAACCTGATGTAGATGTTGGTGTTGTTACTTTAATACCTCTGAAGAAACCATTGATTGATTTGCCGTTTAAATTAGTTGAGAAGGTTGTACGAACAATTTTTAACACAAGACAAAAATACTGTGTTAAAGGGGCTCAAAATTTATTTCCCGAAGATAAAAGAGAGGATCTAGCAGCGAAATTGTTTATTTTGGCAGATGTGAACCCTAAAACTCGGTCGTTTGAACTGAGTAATGAGGATTTTGTCCGAATATGTTACGCCTATAATGTTCTGTGCGAAGAATGTTCTGAGATAGCTGATTTCAATTTTAGAGCGACCAAATTTGAAAATATTGAGCAGGTTTTGTGAATTTATTATTAAATGTTATTGTTTTGACATTGTAAAGTTAAATATAGTAATTTAGTTTGTTTATCTTGTTTTATTTATATCATAGACATGTTTTTAATTTGATTCTTAACACGTGATTCATATTTTGTTTTTAATTTTGTATTTTGATGGTGTAAAAATAAAACTAAATTTTTCCTAGATATAGTAAGTCTAAAAATATTGCTGAAATAAAATTGTTAACATTTATACTCCTATTTTTTGAAATATGTATTTACGCGCCATCTAGTTTCTACTTACGGTGTTAAAAAATACTTCTATGTTGGGAATATAGATGGTGCTTTACTCGGCAATAGAAACCTACACAACTTACAATATTATTTTTGTCTAGTCGTCAACAGATGCCGATACACGGCCTAATGCATTACAGATGCATACTTTATAAAGCTTTATAACGGCTAGAGATTATATTATAATTTTTTAAATAAAATATACCGTATGATCGAAAATAACGGCGTCAGCGATAGCTATGAAATCATATGGGGAATGTCATCGATGTTAATTTCCAAGTTCCAAGCCAACCGGACGCCGGTTTTTTCGATCATACCGTATTTTATATACATGGTGCGTTAGAATATTACACATAATATGAAAAATTGTTTTTCTCAGATCAGTTATATTCTTGATAAAAGATTTATTATTCGATATAATGCATTAATAAATTTGTATTCGAATATACAGGGTGGTCCGAACTGTATTCCGGAAACTACTGCGGCATAGTCTGCATATAAAAATAACTAAAAAAGTTCGTATAAATGTATGTCCTAAAATGCTTAGTTTCCCGAGATACAGGGTGTAGAAGTTTCATTTTTATTTTGATTTTTTCCAATTAATATCTGAAGTAACGTCAATATTTGGATGAAAATTGGTGGCCGTACTTGTATGGAACTACTGAATTAAAAAAAATAGCGTGATTTTCTACGTAAAAATGTTCCTTGGTAAAAATCACTACGAGCAACCGTTCTCAAGATATTTTGAATGGAAAGAGTCAATACATGTCATTATTGACAAAAAATAATCACATTGAGTAGATGGTTATTTGACTGAAATGATACATTTAGGAACTTTTTTTTTAAATTAATTATAAATTTAATTTCTTCGATCTTTGATAAAACAGATTTTATTTGATTTTATGATTTCAGTCTAATAAGTATTTAGTGCGCATAAGGGGAAATACACCAAGAACGGTTCTCTGCTATGTTGGAACAAACCTAAGATCATTCAAATTTCAGATTTATTTAAAAAAACTCAAATTTTTCATCATAAGAAGAAGCAGTCACCTCTCTGTTTGCATATTGGAGTATTACATTAATGTTTTATGCATTTCTCTGTTTGTATTTCAAAGGGAATATAAGGGTGGCAAACCATTTCCCTAACAACACGTCAGATGTTAAGTAACGCTTAAATATTCTCCTCATTTACATACTTATCTCTTACTTTTATAGGTGTGTGTATAGTGACATTTTGGTGACATTGCAGTAAGTAAAGCTGGTAATGTATACCTAGTCTAAAGGAACTTATACACTTTGTGTGACGTTGTAGCTAAATAAAGCTTGATTTTCATGCGTCCGTTATCCGTTGATACGATGCCGATGGTCCGACAGCGCTCTGATTGGTCATAGCGTTTTCGCGCCACTTTTCACCGGTAAATTTTTTACTCCAGCCCGTCAACGAAGAAAGATCGTACGATAACGGGCGTTATGACACTTTTCTGACAAATTTAATCTAACCTTAATAAAAATATAATAGTACAAAAGCTAGCAACGTTGGAAAAACGGGAATTTTAAGAATAAAGCTAGTTCTTTAATATATCTTTTGTTATGCTCTCCTGACCCAAGTGCGGGCCGTCTGGCTGCCGGTAGACTACTGCGATTCAATACTGCGCATCAAATCTGTGCAGAGTATCTCGTTTTCGTGTGTTTTATGGGATTTCTCGTTTATTGAGATACAGTGATTCGATTTTCATATTATCTTGTTACTTTTTGATGAAACTAAATATGTTCCACACAGGCTTATTCTAGCCTCCCTAGTTCCTGAAATACAGGGCGAATTTATGATGCGCAGTAGTGAACAGATGTTAAATACAGATATGATGCTGGTTGTGTGAGCGCAACGTCTACCGGCATGGCAGTCCGCACTCTGTTCAGGAGAGCATAACAAAAACTATATTAAAGAACCATCCTTTTTTTACATATACTACAGGGTGTACCAAATGTTCACCAAAATAACAACATTTTGTTTTCCCTCGTATAATTGATAGATGACAACTTTCGTTTTTCATTTAGAAAGAGACACTAAAAAGTCAAATAATTTAGCTACAAATTTTTCTACAAGTTTATATCGAAATGAAATTTTGGCAGCATATATAGGTTAACTGAAATCATTTTATAAAAATGTATAGAAGTATACAGGGTGTTCCCAAAAAAAGTTACACATCAAAGTTGTATTTTTTCTAGTGGATCAACACTCTATATATTAATTGATTTTCGGATTCTAGGAAAACAATAATGGTGAGTTTTACTAAAGAAGCATATACCTAAAATCTAAGGATTTTGACATATTTCACATTTTGTGAAAATGAAGAGTAAATTTTAAATATCGATAATAGCTACCTAAATTTTAGTTCACCTTGTATAGCCTGATATCTATTTACTGTAACCATTGTATGTTAAACCAAATTGAAATTTGACCCGAAAAGTTATACAGGGTGGGACAAAATTAATATGGAACATCAGGCACTTTAAAAAGCAAGTTGCTCCTTTATTTTAAATGGAACACCCAGTATATTTTTCTAGTGTTCAGTGGGGAATTTATATATTTTCAAAATATCATTAAGGTTGCCTATCCCTCAGACAAAGATTTTCGTAGATATTTTAATTTTTATGATTTTATATCAATAGATCTTTATTACTTGAAAATCTAGGGTGGCTGTGTGATATACCTTTTGTTAATTTAACAAAAGTTAAAGATTGAAGAGTAAAATACTTAACGGTAATAAAAAGATACACGTTTAAAACATATTTTAATTATTACAAAATTAAAACTAGATATAAACATCTAATTATGTGACAAAAATTAGCTAGATGAAATCAAATGCTCAAAATGCTTCCATTCCTGTTGACTGCATAAAATGATTGTCTTTTCAAAAGGATCTTTTCATTTGAAAAAATTTGTCTCACCCTGTATAATTTTTTGGATCGAGTTTTAATTTGATTTAAAGTATTTATTTTAATTTACCTACCTATTAGGCTATACCGGGTAAATTCCAATTTAGATAGCTTTTATTGTAATTTAAAAATTGTTCTTTATTTCTAGAAAATATAATGTGAAAAACCGTATATTTTAGTCATATACTTCTCTTATAAAACTCACTTTTATTTTTCTCCCAGAATCCGAAACTCAATTAATATATAGGGTTCCATAACAAAAAACACAACTGTGATATGTAACTTTTTTTGGGGACACCCTGTAGAACTCTCTATATTTTTAAAAAGTCTCACAAAATTTCATTTCAATACAAACTGTCGTTCTCCTTGGAGCATACGCCGCGTATGAGAGGCGCCGCGCCACTCTGTACCGGGTAGCCAACTAAGAATGGACGCCGGCTGTATCTCAGAAACTACTTATCGTATAACCACGGCACATAAAACAATCGGCACGCCAACTCTACTCAGATTCCATTGTTTAAAATTTCTATAAAATTTGACCTTGTCGGCGCCATTATGGTTTCCTAGTCAGGGCCGGATTAAAACGTATTAAAAAATTTCTCAGAAAATACGACAGGGTCGTATTAAAAAAATACTGTAATTGACTGAAACTGAATTTTATTTACAATACTTTTGTCCAAACAAATGAATCGTTAACCGCGCATACTTCTCGAAAATTAAAAATGAAAAGATCAATTAAATATTTCACTGTAGAGAATAGACAATTAAAATTAAAAAACATGCAACTAACAAAAACATGCCAGGAGTTACAAACAAGAATTAAAAAAATACCAATAAAATATTTATTGAACAATATAAAGAGGCTACGTACAAATTATGCCCATCAAGGGGCGTAGCAAATTTTATTAATATTCAAATTTCACAAATTAATAAATCCACAATTTTTTTGAGAAACTTCTATTTTTTTCATGGCAGGAAACAAAGTAGGTACCGCATTGTATTTTATACGGTTACAAAGTGAATTGGTAAACATTTTAAATTCAAAGTGAACAGAACACAACCTGTACCTTTTCTGGGCCTTATTTATATCTTCAACCAAGTCTTCTCTATTAGATGCAATTGCCCATGTTCTTGCCCTAAAAATGTATTGTTAACTTGTTACTAATCTATTGTTATTTTCGATATACTCATTTTATTTATTTTTATAATTTTATTTAAATTAATAATATAATTATTTTTAAATTTAATGTTGAATGTCTAGATACAACATTAAATTTTATGTTCAGAAAAACAAAAATAAATTATATAACACAAGAAACGAAAATAAACTAGAAAAACCAAATATATAACACAATAAACAAAAATAAAACAACAACTATAAAATATAACTCAAGAAATAAACAAAATAAATTAATCCGTACGCTACTGACTCGAATCAGCCGAAAGTGTGCGCAGTCGATGAAAGAAACTACGACACTGGTTACTTTCTGTTGATGGAAACCCTAACGGCGGCGTGCGCGACGGTATGCGCGTAGCGTTCCCGCCAAAGAGAGTTAGCCTGCCGTGTGATTTATATGCCGTGGTATAACTTTGGGAAAACTATTCTAATAAGTAAGTCGACCAAGAGAAATCGCTGGAAATTAATTTCAAGTTCGAAAAATGCCCGCTAGGGGGCGTTTCTCTAAGAGCCAATCAGAAAACAGTTTTTTTTTCAAAAATATGCAAGTGAACAGGTATTTTAAATACTACTGTTGTAATCATCGAGAAATTTGTAATTTTTTTGATATAAAGTATTTTGCTCTATCTCATAAAATAAAGTGGTGGGGGAAGGTTAAACTTGCTTTTATTAAAATAAGG